TCGTCCCCTGCGTCCAAATCTATCCCAATCAGCGAGAAGGAGCCCACGGTGCCAGTCTCACTAGCCACTGGACTAGAAGCCGCCATGGCCAAAAAAGAAGATCAGAACGTGTTTTCGAAAGTATTGGATCGCAGGGGGAACAGCTTGAGCCAAAATGGCATAGCCATTTTGGCAACTATATCGTCAACACATTACTTGCTCTCCACAAGTTCCAAGCAAAGAAACAAACATATATATATATATTTGTTATTAAGCTAGCATTATATTTACTAGACTATTATGTAACAATCAGCCCAGCATACAACCCCAATAGCAAAGTTTCGCATCTCCATTGACGCCAATCTAATATTGACAGGTGAACCATTTTGGCTCTAAAAATGCCGTCTCTTCGATACCAACAAAGACAACCGGAACACCACCAAGACACCAAAAAACACCACGAAAACATGAACAAAACCCAAAACATCACCGAACACCATCAAGACTTACAGACACACCACCCAAAGTGCCACCAAGACACCACAGACCACCGAAACACAATTGAGAGACCGCCGAGACACCAGCAGGAGGACAGACGCCATCAGGACAGACACCGATATTTCCCGAAAGGACCTGCAAAGGGTTTTCCAAAAGAAAAACGGCCAGCATGATTTGACACCGTCAGTACAAACAACCACCATCATCATCGTCATCATCATCATCTTCTTCTTCATCATCATCATCATCTCCATCATCATCTTCTTCTTCATCATCAGCATGTTCTTCTCTTTCGTCAACCATTCCCGTATCATCATGTATCATCATCATCATCAACATCATCATCGTCATCATCATCATCATCATTATCACCGCCATCATCATCATCATCATCGTCATCAACATCATCATCGTCATCATCATCAATACCAAAATATCATCATCTTCTTCTTCTTCTTCAATATCCTTACCTTAATACATACAAAATGATGCTCTTTAGGTGTTTCGGTGGTGTCTTTGTGATATCTTGGTAGTTTCTCGGTGGCGTCTCGGTGGCGTCTGAAAGGTGTTTGCATTGCGTTGTGCTCTTTTGATGGTGTTTCGTTGGTGCGTTCATGGTGTCGACGTGGTGTCTGGGTGGTGTGTTGGGGGTGTCTCAGCAGCTTCCATGCTGATACAAGGTGTCCACGGTGTCTTGGTCGTATCTTGGTGGGATCGGGTTGGTGGTGTCGGGGCGGTTGTGTTGGTGGTCCTTGGTTATGTCTCTGTGGTGTTGACCTTCGCGTCACTCAAATCTTGAGTGCGTTTTCTTGATTGGTCGCGCCATGCACCAGGTAGTCTTCAATGGTTGCATGCTGTTGTCATGCTGACCATCTTGGTTGCTGAAGATGGCGGTGATAATGAGGAAAAGGATGATGGTGATGATGATGGAGTTGGTGGTATTGACGATGATGATGATGATGATGATGATGATTCGATGCCCATAACGATGACGACGGCGATGACGATGACGACGACCTTGCGTTTGCAGGTTTGGGTTGAAACGGGGGGAGGGATGGATGTTGACGTATATGAGGAAGTAACATGCTGAATTGCTATGGCTATGATGCTTCTGACGAAGCAACTGCGAACATTCCCTCATGCCATACAGCAACCAGGGCGGGGCCGCTCACCTCACCAGAGGAGTTGACATACCTGCTGCATGCCACACTTGCACCGAGACCCTCCCGCAGATTTATTAAATAAAAAAGCTACTAAAACAGAAAGCCAACAGCAAAGAAGGAAATAATTTCTATAGGAGGAAGGGAAAGAAGGAGGGAGGGAAGGAAGGAAGGCCTAGCTCCAAAATGCTGCCTGCACTTTCCAATTTACATATGTTACTTTCAGATATTTTCAGAGAGTTGCAGGTCCCAAGAAATTACAAGTGCTGATTTCAAAAGGTGGCAAAGACCATGCAATTTACAGATTTTAGCCGCAACACGCTGCAAACACCATGCCACTTTGTGCAATGCGGTGCGGACGCTAGTCCGAATGGTACGCCCCTGTAGGCGCAGTATTGACCAGGTTCTGCCAAGATGATCGCGTATTGCATTTCGGCCGGGTCGATGGGAAGGTTCAAGAATGCATCCGCAAAATCGGCCGTGTATAGTTCCACCTCTGCCTGTCCCTGTTCAATTAGGTCCAGGGTGTCCCGAACAAGGTCTGACCCCCGGGGTAGGGCAATCTTTTCCTCGAGGTGAACCATCCCATTGACCCCGGATCGCCTCATGTCGGCTATGAATCTGACCTTGGATGATCCATCGGCCTTTGTTTTGACGAGAGTGGCCAGTTTTGTGGCTTTGGCGCCCGGCCACTTTGATGTGACCTCGTCCCATGATCCGATCGGTTCCAAATGCCCTGTCTGGATCAACCTGCCCCCCAAGTCTGGATTTGAAATCCACATGGTGATTTGAACATATTTGAACCATGATACCCTTTGAGGTTGAACCATAACCATGGACCATGGCCTTTTGACCTCGTCTTTTCAACCATGATACCCTCTGTTCCATCCAAAAATTGCTGGCAAGATGGCTGGAGATGACTGGAGCTTCCAGGAGACATGTTCAGGAGAAAATGTCTCAATCGCAATCAAATCACAAGGCAAAATCCCTATGATTGTAAATCATTTGGTATTGAGGGACAATATTCAATCCATATAATACGGATGTCATAGGGATTATAGTTATTTATATAATGCAAAAAATGTTAAGAAACAACGTCAAAAAGCATCAGAAAAGGGCAATGACGGATAGCACCAAGCCACTCGAATGACTCGACTGGTCAGCTGCAGCCATAGGGCGGAAATCCAAACTGCAAACATGGGCAGTGACTGTTTTGCCAAGGCCCAGTGCTAAAGGGACAACTCTGAAACATCAGATCCTGTAAGTTTACACTTCGTGGTGTTCCAAACGACCTTCCAGACTCAGTGCCCAGTTCATTATGTCGCATTGTGTTGAAATTTTCTACCATTCTTGTTTGCCTCCGAAGTTCTGGGGATTGGTTTGAAGCCTTGTTTCCACGTTGCTTTCACAAAATAGATGAAATGCTTAAGTAGCACATAGTAGCATATAGTAGTACTGAATGCGTTTCCATCTTTTTCTGACCGTTTTGGATTAAAATCCGCATGTGTGTATCATCGGAGTGCCAGTCTTTAGTGAATCTATCGATACAGCACGTCGCTTCCGAATGAACACAGGAAGGGATGAACCTTGAGAAAAGGGGCAAGACCACTTCATCTTCATCATCATCATCATCACCCACCAACGTCATCAAACATGAAAAATCTACCTTCATCTGCTTGGAACCTTCCAGAAAGCTTGCCCGCTGCTCTTCGTGCTGATGTTTCCACCGCAGCAATAGAATCATGCAACGTTAGTGCTTGACCAGATCATTAATGCCCACAACCGAGTGAGATATAACTGGGGATATCTTCCAGGTTCTGGACAACAACTTCACTGACCAAGCGTCCGCATCTTTTTCCGATCGTCAAACTGCAGACAGCAGGGCGCTCTTGGTACTGGCCTTGCGAGACCCTATGAGCTGAGGTTGAAGGGTCAGATCTGCCAGGAAAAGGATGGAAAAGGTACTGTTTTTGGAAGGGGAAACAATCCCAAAACATACATTCACATTGCACTTTGTTGTGGTTTGTACTGGCTTTCAACAGTAAGTAGTGTGCCCGCGTCGCTAACCTTCAGCTGGCACAGGCAGGTATTGATGATATCTGAAGCATCTGCTTCGCCCTTAGGGGAAGATTCCCCCACTCCACCACCAATATGTCAGGCCGCACGCCAACCATCGCTTCCTCGCCTGTAAACTTGATCAAGTCCAGAATGGCATCGCTGGTATGTCATCCTTGCAGGGCATCCACGTGGCTGAGCGGCCCCCATTTTGACTGGTGTTCCACTACATTCCACATTACCAACTTGAAAAGTCCACCGCAGTGGATCTATGTGGATCAACCAAATTGGAAGATAGGGTTGATATGGGGCTGATAGGGATGAGGATAAGCTGAGCAAAACCACTCCACTAGGTTTGGAAACTGCTCGCAGCCGGGTCCCAGCTGCCTGCGTTTAGCCACACAGGTTCCGCATCAGCAAGCCTTGAGTGCTGAAAATTAAACGGGAAGCGAGAACCGACCGTCCTAAGTAAAATCAATATTGATGGAGAAAAAAGTGAAAACAATGAAGAAAACAATCCAAACCCAACATAGCAATTGAAATCAATCTAGCATCACTTTTTGGGGGCTCAGTCCGGTCAGTGGCGTGCAGTTTCTACTGGCACTTTCAAAGTGGTATGCCCTCCAGACATAGTGCAGTTTCCACGTCAACCAATGCTTTGTCCCCGGGGATTGCAAAACGGGCATGAAATATCATGAAATTAAGTGGGGACATCTGCCTTGGCCTATTGGGGTGCATCTACCAATCTTGAAACCAACCAGACCAGCAACAACATGAAACTTCCGAGACATTTTTCTTTAATGGACTTATAGAGTTGTTTTCCTGCCCTTTGCAGCTGTTGATTTTTTTTACTTATCAACCATGGGACAACCTGCCAAGAGACCGCTATCACCGCTCCAGGTGGATTCCGTGGAGCCAACATGGTACCTGTGCGGCGGCGGCTTCGGGGACGTGTGGAAACACGCACTGTCTCTGCGTTGATGCCATGGCTGCAGAAATAGATTGTGTAATCTTGGCAAAACCATCCAAAATGGGATAAGCAATTTACATACAAGAATACTCAGGAGGGTCCTAAGCCCTAAGCCAAGAGTGGCAATCAAAATGGACTTAGATACAGAGAAATGGGTGCTGTCACTGCATCACTATGCCAAAAAATGACCTCCGGTTGTCGCAAAGAAAGAAAACCAAACATGACTTAGCTGTGCTGTGTAGTTTGGCCGTGTCTTGGTTTAAAACGGAAACTGTCATTGCATTTCAACCTTGGCCACAAATTAAGACGCTGTATGTGCATCTGGCATGCGAAGATACTGCTTTTCAAGCGCTGCTTGTCAATCTTTACTTTTTGGTCTAATCTCAGAAGAGTCCTAATTCCGCGACAGAATCAGCAATCTGATCAGCGACGCCTTCAGCGTTCTTCATCTGCTGATCGTCTATGTACACGAGACCCTTTGTGAACACTAGTTTGTTCTGCCAGGCCCCCCTTTCATTATCAGTTGGCGCCGGCGGCCACGCTTCACAAAGTCTAATTGGAATGAGAAGCAACTCTTTGTCATGAGCATATTCCAGCTCACGAAACGTATCATATCCAGTTCTAGTGTACGCTCCGTATTCTGCTGTACAAAAAGCCACCATGCCTTTGGCACGGCCCAGAGCCATGCGCGTTAGCTCGGCGAAACTTTGGCCGGGCGTTGCCTCAACCATGAAGGTCGGCACGCCACGAACCGCCAACCGGTCCCCCACCAGCCTCATGTAGCCCATGATCCTTGGATATCTGTTGAGGCACTCAACTTCATGCCAGTGGAAGTGGAGATTCAAAACCAACATCCAGAAAATGTGTTCTGGGGTGAGAAATTCTGAGAGAATGCAGACGAAAAAACCTCGAGTCTGACGCGCGATTTGTCCAAAATCTAAGTTGAGAATCTGGTCGGCAGTAAAAATGTGGTCACTTTTGAAGCGGCCACTGAGAAGCAAATGCCCTTGAGGGTGTGATGTTGGTGCCTGGGAATCAGCGGTTTCAACAACAGCAGGCTTGACTGTGTAGTACCGATGACAAGTTGTCTGAAGAGTTTGTCTGAAGAGTTTGTCACTCACTAGGGGCTTGTTGACAATGAGTCATATTTGCGAATAACGCCGTACTGTGGCATTGTCAAACAAGGTGCCAATGGGCGTCTGCGACACTGCCCACTGCATGGTGCATCATTAAGTCAAAGTGATGAATGAAAGTGTTGTTTTAGGCCACAAGTCTTTAAACTATGACCCCCGAGTTTTTGGTTAGATCATCCATCTACATTCCATCCAATAGTCATCCACTCATCTATTGTACCAGGAGAAAAAATATACTGGTCCCATGCATTGTGGGACATGGTAAAACGTGGCCACCATCACCAGTGACGAACCCTCGGGATGCAAAAGGTTTGAGAGTCTGAGTCCGCAACAGCCAAGCCGGCTGAACTTGATGCAGCAGATGGATCCACCTCCAATTTGTGGGGAATCATGGTCACAGTATGTCACAGTTTGGCCTTGAAGGAATTCAGATGGGTTGGGGATGGTTCCCGTGAAGATTTGGCTGCTTCATGTTCCCATAACTTCCTCCTGAGTCTACAGCCTATATTTATATGTAGCTCTACTGACTCTACTGTAGCAGCACCAAAAACTATCCCAATCCAACATATCTAAATCCAAACGTCATTGGTCACCGGCCATTTCCATGGCGACTGCAGGAAAGGATAGCCGGGTCTAAACTTCCTTCTAGCCTCGAACAAGCCACAAGCAACACTAAGGTCGGAGCGGTGGCTATTTCTGGAGATTCAGCAGCTTTTGATGCGGCCGTAGATGGTACCACCTGTTCGGCAATACATTTTTTGGATATTTTCCATCCTTTAGAAAACATTAGAAAACCAGGTTCGTGCAGATTTCATGTCAAAAGAAGGAAGTTCTCCTGTTGGTTGATTTGCAGTTTATAATTCAATGATTTTCTGCTGCTGCTGACACAGACGAAGCTTTGGCCATGATAAATACCCATATGCACACCTTATCCTCCGTTTACACTCATGATTCCGCGACGATGGTTTAACAACTAAAGCCCGCCGATTCTGCTTGGAATGATTTTATGTCCTTTTGAAATTGTGAAATTATTTTGCATTTAAGTCGTTTTTCTCACTCAATGCTGATCTTCGCTCCATCATGTTACAGTATACGTTGGCTTCGTATTCGAATGTATTTGAACTTAGTTTCGTACCAGCTTCTATAATGTCCACTACCAATTCCGATTTTTCCCGAATGCGTTAGCAAGGGTTCCCGTTTCACTCTGCGGGTCTGGGGGTTGAGGGTGTGTTCGCTCGACGTTGCCCAACCGTCCGCAACCGTCCGCAACCGTCCGCAACCGTCCGCCACCGTCCGCAACCGTCCGCAACCCCGTCCGCAACCGTTCGCAACCGTCCGCAGCCGTCCGCAACCGTCCGCGCGAGCCCCGTATGGCCGTGCCTATGGTAAGTTCTGCGTCACTCTTGGAGGTTTCAAACGTTGCGTTGCTTCGTTTCGCGTGGCAGGTACGTGTGTGGCACTTCGTGACATTCAGACGTGCTTCGTAATGTGTCGAACGAAAGTCGTTTTGTGTGGCAGTCGCAATACTTTTGCGACGTTTTCAGAAGATGAGTTCAAGTTTTCGTGGCAGGCGCAGCACTTTGAACGTGTCCGTCGTCATCATCGTCATTTTGCGTGGCAGGCGCAGCACTTTATAGACGTGTCTTGTGGCGTGATTTTTGCGAATCGCATTGTCAAGGCTGCGTCAATTGGCGACAAGGTGCGAATTCCATGGCAGGCGTTGCATTTTGTGAGATGTGATGAAAATTGACGGAAGCCTCGCACGAAACATCGATTTTGAGGTAGCAAATTATTGGAGGTTCCATAAGAAAACTCGTAGGAAAACTTCGATTTTGAAGCTACAAAGTATGAAAATTGGAGGAAGTCTCGCATGAAATGCTCGTTTTGATGCTCCAACGTGTCTCGTCTCGAGTCTCTGGTTTTCCTGTGGCCTCGCCGTGTCTATGGGGGCAGCTGCAAAACCTATCCTGTTTCAAGGTGTCAAAGCAAGTTGTGACGTGGTTTTGCGTGGTAGGCCTGCCACTTCGTGACATTCTTACGTGTCTGCCAAAAGTGTCGAAAGTCCTGTGTGGCAGGCGCGATACTTTTGCGCCGTTTTCACAAGATTAGTTGCAGTTTTTGTGGCAGGCGCAGCACTTTAGAGACCTCCATCGTCATTGCGTGCTCTACACTCCAAACTCCGCACTCTACACTCCACACTCAACACTCCACACTTCACACTCCACAGTAAGAGCCATCACAGCTCTATTTCAATCAAAATGATGTGTAGCAGGCATCACGGTGCTACTTGAACCCAAATGAACTGTAACTTGGGTCAAAATGAGTAACATGTGTCATAGTGATGTCTAAGTGCCATTAGGGTCCAACATGGGTAGTCATGCATGACTAAGCTGAATTGCAGTGCCAACTGAGGTTTGTTCTTGCTTGCGGGGACATTCTTTGCAGTGCGGGGGCCAGGCGCTGACGGCGCTGGGATCACCAAGAGACACCAGTGACACACCACCAAGAGACAACCAAGACACCACCAAGACACCAGCAAGACAACACCGAGACACCACCAAGAGACAACCAAGACACCACCAAGACACCAGCAAGACATCATCGAGACACCACCAAGAGACACCAGTGACACACCACCAAGGGACAACTCAGACACCACCAACACCCCACCAAAACAACACCGAGACACCACTGAGACACCACAAAGACACCACCGAGACACATGCGAGACACAAGCGAGACAACACCGAGACATCATCGAGACAGCACCAAGAGACACCAGCGACACACCACCAAGAGACAACCAAGACACCACCAAGACAACACCGAGACATCATCGAGACACCACCAAGAGACACCAGTGACACACCACCAAGAGACAACCAAGACACCAGCAAGACAACACCGAGACATCATCGAGACACCACCAAGAGACACCAGTGACACACCACCAAGAGACAACCAAGACACCACCAAGACAACACCGAGACATCATCGAGACACCACCAAGAGACACCAGTGACACACCACCAAGAGACAACCAAGACACCACCAAGACAACACCGAGACATCATCGAGACACCACCAAGAGACACCAGTGACACACCACCAAGAGACAACCAAGACACCACCAAGACAACACCGAGACATCATCGAGACACCACCAAGAGACACCAGTGACACACCACCAAGAGACAACCAAGACACCACCAAGACAACACCGAGACATCATCGAGACACCACCAAGAGACACCAGTGACACACCACCAAGAGACAACCAAGACACCACCAAGACAACACCGAGACATCATCGAGACACCACCAAGAGACACCAGTGACACACCACCAAGAGACACCAAAGACCACCCACACAAGACAACACCGAGACATCATCGAGACACCACCAAGAGACACCAGTGACACACCACCAAGAGACAACCAAGACACCACCAAGACAACACCGAGACATCATCGAGACACCACCAAGAGACACCAGTGACACACCACCAAGAGACAACCAAGACACCACCAAGACAACACCGAGACATCATCGAGACACCACCAAGAGACACCACTGACACACCACCAAGAGACAGCCAAGACACCACCAAGACAACACCGAGACATCATCGAGACACCACCAAGAGACACCAGTGACACACCACCAAGAGACAACCAAGACACCACCAAGACAACACCGAGACATCATCGAGACACCACCAAGAGAGACAACCAAGACACCACCAAGACAACACCGAGACATCATCGAGACACCACCAAGAGACACCAGTGACACACCACCAAGAGACAACCAAGACACCACCAAGACAACACCGAGACATCATCGAGACACCACCAAGAGACACCAGTGACACACCACCAAGAGACAACCAAGACACCACCAAGACAACACCGAGACATCATCGAGACACCACCAAGAGACACCAGTGACACACCACCAAGAGACAACCAAGACACCACCAAGACAACACCGAGACATCATCGAGACACCACCAAGAGACACCACTGACACACCACCAAGAGACAGCCAAGACACCACCAAGACAACACCGAGACATCATCGAGACACCACCAAGAGACACCAGTGACACACCACCAAGAGACAACCAAGACACCACCAAGACAACACCGAGACATCATCGAGACACCACCAAGAGACACCAGTGACACACCACCAAGAGACAACCAAGACACCACCAAGACAACACCGAGACATCATCGAGACACCACCAAGAGACACCACTGACACACCACCAAGAGACACCAGTGACACACCACCAAGAGACAACCAAGACACCACCAAGACAACACCGAGACATCATCGAGACACCACCAAGAGACACCAGTGACACACCACCAAGAGACAACCAAGACACCACCAAGACAACACCGAGACATCATCGAGACACCACCAAGAGACACCAGTGACACACCGCCAAGAGACAACCAAGACACCACCAAGACAACACCGAGACATCATCGAGACACCACCAAGAGACACCAGTGACACACCACCAAGAGACAACCAAGACACCACCAAGACACCAGCAAGACAACACCGAGACACCACTGAGACACAAACCGAGACGCAACCGAGAGACCAGCGAGACACCGCCCAAGCCGACAGCCTGGAACCCGACGGCGCCCATCCGCTTTTGGAGTTAACAACCCCCAGCCATCGCTATTGGGGAATTATGTATATCGACTCAATGCAAATGTCTCTAGCAAATTATCACATCAAGACAACAGCTCTGACTTACCACTCGTCAAGCAGCTGATGGGAATGGGTTGAACCGGAGCTCGCGGATCTTGGCTATGATCGCGTTGTCGGCAGTATCCCAAATCAATGAGTCACGGACCTGTAAGTCTTCCGGTGCGGGATCTTCAACGGTTTTGGCAGAACTTATAGTTGGCTTCCACCTTGGATTTCCTGTGGAATCTGCTGTTTTCACCTTGCTAGAGCCCTCACTGCTGTCACCTGGCCGAATCAGATTCAAATCAGACTCCATCGATGATGATGCGGCATCACGCCGACGAGAGCCAGTCACCTTCATCATGATCTTCTCAGCGGCCTCTGCGTGTGTTTCAGCAAGAGCTTTCGATTCGTTGAATTCCTCCTCATGGTCGGGCCATCCAAACAGTGGATAACATTTGTTGATCTTGAGTGAGCAAATGCTTCCGCAGGCTTCGGGATTGAAATGCACAAGATCACAAGCAAAGGCCTCGCATTATGAAGTTCACTTGTGTAACATGCGGATGTGCATGAACAAATACAGAACCATTTCTTCACAAGTGGTTTTCAAAAGTGACCGGTGTCCTCTTTGAGTCTAAGGAGGTGAAGGAACTCCAGCCAGCCTCCTGGCACAAGCTCATTCACCACCATGGCCAGGAGCTGTGCCCTGGTAATGCTTTGGTAGAGTTGAGCCCGGATCACCTGGCAGCGTCAACGTGGACTTCCCCGGGATTTGGTTACGCTTTCCATCGCTTTCCCCAACTACGGTCTCACGGTTGCTGCATCCAAGTCACACGGTCTGCGTCCGTGGTCTCGATCTTCGCATCAAGTCCGATGGATACAGCAAAAAGGTACTCAAGACCAGCCACATTGCGAATGGTATCGAGAATGAGGACTTCGGCCTCTGCCTCTGCTTGAACCTGTGGCAAGAGGTATGCATGTAAAAAACACATCGCATCCTCACTCTTCTTCAGCAACAACTTCCGATGACCCAAGTTGTTGTTCAATTCTTCCTTGAGATGTTTCTTGAACTCCACCAGGAACTCCTCGTTGGGGACCAGAAGTGCCAAACGACGGTGGAGGCTGAGACCGGGATAGGTGCGAGTGATATACAAAATGGCGTTCGCTGTGTGCCGTGCGTATCCTATCAGGGTCGTTTCATCACCCCCAAAACAAAACGAAAAGAAATGGATCAAAACAGTTTTGGCAAAAGTGGCAGGCCCTGACCTTTGAAGCGATCAGCATCGCTTGCTTCAAACAGGAAGGACTTCAAAGGCGGCCCGGACGGCCCACAGCATCTGATGTTCTTCCTGGACTGCGCGCTGCATAGGAAGGGCGCTGCACCAGACACAACACGCTGGGAGCATCGAATCACTTCATCAAGTGTGACTCTCTCCAACTTTTCCATATCTTGTTGCTCTGTAAAAGTGTGGTCCAAAAAGGATTGGGAATCATCTGACAACAGCAATGTTCGCTGGGCTGGAGGACGAGAGAATTCGCGACTGAGACCTGGACGGAAGATTTGATGCGCCTCATCATAGACCGCAATCAAAAACTGCTGATCCTTGGCCAGCCCGTCATCACTGAAACCAATTGAGCTGCCAAGAATCTGTGGGACTCGGCCGTAGTTGTAGGGATCATGGAGCAGCACTACCCGGCCAAAAAGCTCTTCAATCTTCCGATATCGATCCTCGGGCGGATCTTCTAAGGTGTATACTGTGGCCAGCCATTGCAAGAAAAAATACCCCAGCGATTTGGAAGGAGCCACATACAAAACGCGACCCGTGCTTTCATTGCGAACAATGTCCAGTATGTACTGAACGGCAACAAAGGTCTTCCCAGCGCCTGCAGGCGCCAACAAGTTCACAAAGGAGAATTGCCGGAGTTGCTCGCACTTTTCCGACTGGTGCGGCGTCAGCTTCGAAAAACTGAGCAAACTTCGCTCCATCAGTTTGCAAAACAGTGTCTTGTCAATCTGAACACGCTCACTGCACAGTTTTTCTTCCAGTTTTTTGTTGATCTTCACTTCCAAATCACCACTCAGGACTTGATCTCGGAGATGCTGCAGAGCTTCAACCGTTTTCATCTTAATCCTAATGGCCACAGATGGCATTCCGCTGCGTGACCTGAGCTGCTCCGAAGTTGCCCCAACGTCGATGCCTGGAGGCAAAGCGTCCTCGGCGAGGTTTGTGCACCTATCTCTGCCTCTCTTAACATTGACCGAATCACTTCGCAAAACAGCAGCGCAAAAAAGAAAAACACAAACAAGCGCAAACCAGTCCTTCATCATTTTCCTCAAGGCATCATGGCCAAGCGCTTCAAAGAGCTTCTCTTTAGCTTCAGAAGTCTTGCCCAAGACCAAGTCATCCAAGCCATCTTCCTCCTCAATAGACACAGCCTGAACAGATCGGCCAATAGATTGCAACAGTTTCTGCACAGAGTCGGAGACATGTCGCACGTGTTGGGACTCGAAAGACTCTCCATCCTTTGCCTTCACCCGCCATTTTGTTTCAGCTGGGTCTTTTGTAATCCATTTTGGTTTATCCAACAAAGTCCCTCTGCGCCATGCACGCGCATCTTCATACCAGGCATCCACCAGAGTTCCGATGTGAAATTGCTCCTGCAGAAAGTGTGCCACGTCGACCTCATCATACTCCCAGCCTGAACCAGGTTCTCTTTCCTTCATAAGGTCCAAAGTTGCTATCTCTGCTTTCTGGGACGCTCCGCATCCAATGTCATCCCACAAATCCGCCCGTGCCAGCTCTTCCATCGTCCTCACTTTTCCAAGTCCCTTCTCATTGGGGAAAAAAACTACTTGAAGCTTTTGGCCTTGAGCCACTGCTTCTGTGACTTTTTGGAGCCAAATGTGATACCAGTAACATCCATGCGGTGCCCTCTTGTCATTACTCTTCCATTTTTCTCTTTGCCCGTAGATTCTTGCACAGTAGCACTCTCCAGAACCTTCTGGATCTTCCTCATGCTTGCCCAAGCCATCTTTGGGCGTGCAAAGGAACACACATCCAACACTGTCTCCGGCTAACTGTTGGATTAAGGCATCCCATCCTGTTGTGTATTTGCCAGGAAAGGACGCGTAGCATCTGCGAGCACCTGTTTTGATGCTCCCATGGTAGCTGATGTCCGCGGTGTTGTCCAACACAGCAGATCGTTCCCTTAGGGTCAGATGTAGTGCTCTGAGTTCATCAAACTCTCGTGCCATGTTCTCATCTGACTTCTCCTCAGGCAAACGGTGGCGTACCAAAAACTTTATGCATTTTGCCTCTGAGGACGAAAAAAACCGGGAAGGACGCCACAAGGTAGCATGAAATACTCTTTAGTTTTTTGTGTAATTGCGAACAGCACACATCGCACAAATTACTGTAAATCAGAGACGCGATCAATATGTTTGGGAAGGTATCCGGTATGTCAGATCTTATTCTGGAATGTCATGTTCATGAGTACCATGGTATCAATCTTGAACTTACAACAGTCCAGGGTTAGTGAGGGAACATGAAAAGTGCAACTATAAAAATAACAGCGGAGAACGTGAATGTGGCCAGGACATGGCTTTGTTGTACTGTGATAAAGAAACGGAATGTGATCTAGACTTGCCTTATGCATGAGGGACGGGTTGGATCGAACTCTCAAAAACAGTACTTGTTTTTTCCTCGGGCCGTACCCCTGAGTCCCCTGCCCTATTCCATGATGATGCCTTCTTTGAAGATGAAGATGTTCCTCTTGCAGACCTGGACCAACAACCCCTAAGTGCACATAGGCCCTGCTGTGAAAATATAGCGATATCTAGTGAAGATTTGTAGCTTCCGCTTCGCCGATCATTCTCACGTTCATGTCATACTAAATCACTTCTCATCAACAATATCTGCAAGACTCTTTTCTGCGTAACTTGTGTTGATCGGAGCAGCTTTTAGATCTTTTAACCACTTTTCAATCGATCTACTTTATTACCCCACTTTGCTGTCAGTATCTAAAGTTCAACTTCTGCACAATGTGAAGACCCGTCTGCATTCACCCCTTTGTCACAGCGTCAGCGCGAGACGTTTGCATCAAGGTGCCCATGTGCTTGGCCGATGCCATTCTCTTCCTGCAGGTGTTGTTTGCGGATTCACGAACTCACCGACGTCTGTTGAACAAAGAGGCCAGCAGTTGCATGAATACCAAAAAAAAACAGTACCACGATTCCTTGTGTTGGGCTGCGAATTGCTTTGCTTTGAGCTAAATGCAACATGCCAGCGAAATGCGAACACAAGTCAAATAGGAGTGGCGTCTGAACATGTCTAAACCATCCTGGCTGTTGTTAATCTCCAAGGCTTCCAACAAGAGCTGCCTGCGGCATTCCGATATGTCCTGACTGCACCGCGGCAATGACAACTCATGGGTCTGAGTCGGATGGCGGCGGAAGGTGTGAGTTGGACAGCGCCAAAGTGAGAAGACGGGATGCGCCCTGTCAGCTGTCGGCCAGTCAAACCGCGGGAACGGGAAACTATACACAAAGATACACAAAGTAAGGTCGGGCGTGCGACTGTGTGTATATGCGTGCGCGTGTTTCGGATTGTGTTCGCAGAGTCCCGTCCTGACTACAAAGTGCCTGTGTTTCAACGCTTCCCATCACAACGTTACCCGATGAAAATGTTGTCATTTTATGCGTTGTCTGACTCCTGTGTGACTCGCGGGCTGCTGTTGTCTAAGTTGCGCATGGGTTTCGTCTGACTCATATATTGTCTGACTCGCAGCCCTATTGTCTGACACGGTCTTCGCTCAACAACTCATGCTGTAATTAAAAGACATTAAAAGACATTCGCATCAGATTTCAATGCAAAACCAATAGGTCTGGCAAAAAAAATATCGAAACTCTGCAGACTGTGGACAAGAAATCGGATAGTGCCGACCCCCTTTAATTGCCCTGCAAGATGTGCTTGCACTGTCCTCTTTTGGAAGGTCCTGACGATGCTGATGGCCGTGCAAATTCTGTGGCACATGTCAAGTGACAAAGGTACATGCATAAACGCTTCAATATGACTTCACTTTGACTGAATTGCTACAATAGAAGCCGCTGCTTATCAGGCTAAGGTGCAGTTCATGACCATGAGGTCCAAAGCGGCTGCGAACATGGTGCAGTCCTGCACTATGTTGAACAACTCCTCACGGTTTGCATTCCCCACAGGGTATCGTCGGTCAGCTGACGCACCGCTGCCCATTGCGGCAGCAGGGTTTGTGGAACCAATGGAGGCAGAAGACACTGAACAAAATGCATCGCTTCCAAGTGTTTGCCGAGTGGCATCCTATTTCGACCTTGAATGGCGATTTGGTGAGCCCAATTCCCGACATGCGACATGTCTTGTCAGATATTGCCCGGCCAAGGAAATCCCAAATCCAAACGAATTGAAAATCCAACAGTCCTCAAACACGAAGCTAAAATGAATGAGATGCAGTCTTGCCATATCCGATCTTTGAAGTAAGGTCTTAGTGCAAAATGACCACCATATGCCAATGTGAAAGTTTAGAAACCCAAAAGAATGCCTTGGTTAAAAAGGGGCCCTGTCCACTTCAGAGAATGCACATAGTGTACAAAGTGTTCATCTTGTCGTTTGCGGTACTGTGACAGTTCTGTACTGTGAAGTTGGGCAATTACCATCCGTGACCGGCCTTCAAGCAGACTTTTGGTTTTCACATGAGCAAAAATCGCTGCAGATTTATACAAGTCCCTCAATTTCAAACGAGAATTTTAACCCCAAAATTCTCAATTTTCTTCTCTTTTTTTCTTCAAATTCTCTGCCCCTAAATGTTTGACATCTCTATCTCTCTTTCCCTCTTCACATTCTCTGCTTGTAACCCTAAATGTTTCAATTCATTGAAATCTTCATGTTTTCAGATTCTAACCTAAATTTCTGACATGTCTGTCTCTTTTTCTCTCTTCACGCTTTTTGTTTTTTAATCATTTCAATCGATTAAAATCTTCAGATTTTAACCCTAAATGTGATAAGCCCCTGAAATCTTCAGATTTTAACCCTGATATATGTCTCACGTTTTTCACACGTTTTTCACAATTTTCTATATAATAAGTGTAACCAATTTAGTTTAGGGTTAAAGTGAGAAAATTTGGAAATTGTAGAGAAGAGGGGTCCCGTTCCAGCTTGAGGTTCTTACTCTTGATTCTGTATCCCGCTCCCGCCTCCCGCCTCCCGCCTCCGCCTTGTCACACTCTCTGTCACACACCTTGATCACCTGTTGAAACTCTGGAGGTCTGGCAATCCATTGATTTCAAACCAGGACAGGCTCTGGAACGGCATAAGAACCATTTTTCGCCAAGGGTAAGCAACAAGCCGGGTCTGCAATCCAGATTCACCAGCATGTTTGAGATTCATAATCTAGTAGGTCTAGGTTAGTCATGGTGTGATGTCTCTTCAATCCTGAAAATCAATGAACTCTGGGTGAAGACAAGTGTAAGCTGAGCCGAGAACTACGGGAATTCGAACCTTTGGTATAATGTGCACATGAATCATCTTCAAATAACTGTGTTTCTCCCATGCCATGTCCATGTCGCAACAAATACCTACGGCCTGTCACTGCCTGAAGCAAACGTCCGAAGGTTTTGCGACTCGGCGCGTGCTCAGTTGCAAGATGTTTTTCAGGTTCGTCTACCTTGAGAGTAGCAGGGACTTTTAGGCCCATATTCTAGATGTTTTGAATGTCTCACTTCGGGTGAACTCTTGTGATCGTTTAGGATGATCTGCCTGATACTTGACCTACTTTAATCAGGAATCACAAAGGATCGCAAAATCGGAGGGTGGAATCCGGCAGCAATACCCTTTGATTTCCGCCACATTCTTTGATTTTTTTTGACTCTGCCTAAATGGCAAAGATGCCACTGCTGGTAACAGAATCCGCAATCTGATCGGCAGCGCCTTCAGCATTATTCATCTGCCGATCATCTACATACACTAGACCGTTCTTGAACACAAATTAATTTTGAAAAGTGCCTCTTGGATTGTTTTGCGGCGCAGGTGCCCACTCTTCGCAGAGCCTAGTGGGAAAGATATGCAACTTGTTGTCGTGTGCATATTCCAATTCATGGAAGGTTTCGTAACCAGCACCTGTATAGGCGCCGTAGTCCGACGTGCAGAAGGCCACCATGCCTTTGGCACGGGCCAATCCTATCCGCGTCAGCTCGGCAAAACTTTGGCCGACCTGGACTTGGGCCACAAACACTGGAACTCTTCTCTCTTCCAGTCGCCTTTTCACCGTTCTCATGTAATTCATCGTCCTCGGTGGCCAGAAAAGTCCACATGACAGGGAGGATGGAACCAATTGATGGTGACCGATGGTCCCACCAATAAAAAGCCCCCACCAATAACGGCTGCCATTGGCACACCTGCTTCTTGGGGCTCTGATGAGGGCCATCCCGGCGAAAAGTCTGGATTATCAATCAGTTTATGGGATTACAATGATATTATGGCGGGGATACTGATAGTAGGATTTATAGTTTGACATATCTTCTAAAAAATAAATATATAAAATATAAAAATGATAGGTTGCAAATGTGCTATCGTCAAGTTCGATGTGTATGCAATGGGATGATCAGGGGATAAATGGGACAAAGCCATCCACAATTGTAGGGATTATAATGGAGATATTGGGCGTTAACCATCAACGATATCATGATATGGGAGTAATAAACATGGGATGAATGGGGTATGGTCATCCATCCCATGCCATGGGAATCCACACATGATTGGTATATAAAGCCCTATTCAATCCTATTCATTGATTGATGCCCAAAGGCAAATGTCACAAAAAGAAAAGCAAATTGGACATGGAACTAGTCACAATCTTTGTGTTTAGATCATACTTCAGCCCAAAAGAAGTACAATCATGGGAGCGCTCTGACCATCCCCTTTATCGTAAATCAAACTCGCCGTTGACATCACGAGGAAACATTCAGGGAAAATCTTTTTGGGGAACCATGGTTTTTTCTTTTCAAATATGGTGGTAAAGCCTGCAAATGTTCTCTTCAAGCAATTCTGGGACTGTGACCCTTAAACATCTAATAGCCATTAACAACACTATGCCTAAGCCCATATGATTGGGATATCTGTTTAACCCATACAATTATGTGGCGCCTTAAACTGTAACCTTGGAGTACCCCAAAACCTTTGGTTTCCCACAGAAAATGGAGAATTTGGGATGACAACTGATAACTTGGGGTCCGCCACTTCAAGAAAAACCCATTTACCAAGTATTTGGGTTGATCCAAAACATTAGTTTGAGAAGACCCCCAGAGTCCAAAAGCTTAAAGCCTGGTTTTCCTCATTTTCCCCATGGTTTCCCCCATGATTTGGTGACACATTCCCCACAAAAACGGCCGATCTCCCACCGCAGCCCTGGGGGGATACCTTCTTCGGCACCGTCCAGGGTGCTGCGGCTGCGGTCACCACATCATGAAGGGATGGGTCCCGCATGGCGACGTTGGCTGGTTTTTGGGTGTGACACCTGCGGGGTAACCTGAGATGTAGGGGATATGTATAGAAACGTATTTAAAATGTGAAGATATGTGAATATGATACATGTATTATTGATATGCATGTGTGTTTTTGAATTCCGAATTGATCGATTTGACGTTTAAAGAGGGTCTTAGAAGTGATAACGGTTGGTAGAATTTTGACTTCGAATTGGGAAAGGAAGGGCCTGGCTCTAGCTACATGTACCTTTGTGAGATACTACAAAATAAAGTGATGAAAGCCACCAGTGAAGCCACTGAGACATAAAAGTTTCCTGACATCTTGATCCAGCTGGCCATATGCAGGAAGAACCATGATACTCTGTGCGATGACAAATCAATGATGTACAGAATTCATTTTCCTTGCCATTCATCCGCATTTGGTACCATCTGTAGATAATTTATGAAAATTCACTTCACAGAAGGAAGCTTTTCCCATTGCACTGAAGACTCCAACCCTTCAAAATGGGAACGCCGTCAGCGTATCCCAATCATCCCAGGACATGCCTGGTCAGGCCATGGCCACATCTTCGCAATCTGTTTTCCTTCGCCCAATTGTTGCAATTGCTATGCCATTTTCGGCAACGGCATGTGAAATTCTGTGCGCCTTGTCGACAAACAAAAAAAAAACGCGTGAAACATGATGTGCAAATGATCTGGTGACGTTCTCCAGGCCAAAGGATATTGCACTATACCAATTGGACTTGTGTTTCTTTTGGATTCTTTTGGTGTGCTTCAGTTGGAGTTTCCGGATATAGTGGCTGTAAAGTTCTGCTCCAATTCTCCTGCGCTTCATTCTCCGAAGACATGGCAAGTGCATTACGGCATATCCTTCGGCCAACTCCGATTTCCTACATGGGGGTTTCCTGAAATGGGGGTACCCCCAAATCATCAATTTTAAATAATTTTAATATGATTTTCCATTATAAACCATCCATTTTACGGTACCCCCATTTATGGAAACCACCACATGGTTTCATAGACTTGCGGTGTCGCAACTTGGTAGCAGCCTGTCCGACTGACCATCTAAATCTATCTAAATCATTCTAAATCTACAATCGGATCTTCAGCTGGGGTCGCTGCTCCATCACTTTGCGAAGGGCAGCTGTCCCGATGTCACTGAAGCCTGGCTGCTACAACTTCGAGTTGTGTCCATTTCAACATCTTCTCATCTCAAAGACTCCAACATCGTCGTTCATCTTTCCGAGATTGAAAAAAACATGCCGTTTTTCCAAAGGTTCAAAACAATGTAAAACAATGCCAAACATATCGCCAAAAAACGGTTTCCAGTCAGACTCAGATGTTCCAATCGATCAGCAGCTGAGCTCATCAGTGCCTCTGATATTGCATCTGCATCTTCATCTTGTAGAGAACACGACTCCATTTGGATGTCCGCTGCGCCTGAGGTCACCATCGCCACGGCATCTTGCCCCTTCAGGGCATTGCCGTTCACCACCATGTACTCCAGTTTGGTGTAGTGGGGCAAGGCGTCATGTAGACATTCCAAGTCATCCCCAGAGAGTTGTTGGAGCTGCAAGTGTGTTGTCTTGGAGACTTTGTCTCTGAACACCTTCTCTTGCAAAGCAAGCACCTGCTCGGCATCATTTCGATGCGTGAACCGCATCCGTTGCATCCTCTTCCTGAATATTTCTGGAGGAGTGGGAACACAACCTCCAAGCACATCCATACGCAGGCGGGACCACTCAGATTCGCTCTGGCACCAACCTCGAAGCTCATAGGGGGTGTTGTTCAGCCTCAGCTCGCAGATTGGTGTCAGTTTCACCTGGTCTTCCGTCGCGTTGTACACCAAAATCTCGCCCTCGAACTTCTTGTCCTCAGGTGTGAGTTCAGTGAGGATGTCTACCTGCACAATCTCATGACTGTAAAGCCAGTGCATTCGCTTCAGCCCCTTCCTGAAGAACTCATCTTCTTCAGCGGATCTCTTGTACTGATACAGCGACATGAAGTCCACGAAGACCCACGTCACCGAATCCTTGGGTAATTCTCGGTACCTCTCCACAATGCTGCGGACCTGGAATCCCCAGGGATCCGGATGCTCCATCGCCTCCCACATGTGGGAGATTGACCGGAATCGCACTGTGGAGGGGCCCTCAGCCGTGCGGATTGTGATGTGTCCTCACAGGGCGGACACTATGTAGTGCCAGACAAGCATAAATCTGATGATTACAATAAAATTCAATCATATGCGGACCAGAAATCTAGCACAACATCCATCGATCTACAATAATATACAATTAAGTTTGCCATCTTGAGACCGTAAAGTCATTTGAAATCATCTCTGGTGTTTCTGTACCTCTGGATGTTTGCAGGGACTGAGCCAGCCTGATGTTTGATTCACGTGCAACTCTTTGTACTCACCAAGCTGCACCAGTGCAGTTGCCCCACTCCGCACGTGCATGAACTCTGCCTCTTGTCGGCGAGGCATGGGGGTCCCAGTCTCATCCAGCTCGATCAAAAACTCGGCGCGGACCAGCCGAATGTTCGCGGAGATGAGGAACTCGATGAAGTCGTTGGGATTTTGCAAATCGCCTGGCAGCATCATACAGCCGGACCGTGACTGCTAGAGCAGCCCCTGGATTTCATCGTGGCTCAGTCAATTCCGGTCCCAAACTCTCAAAAATCAGACCCTGGAGATGATGTGTGACTTTGGATCCAACTAATGATAATTGGAATACCTGTTGACGGTTGACAGCGTGTGTTTGTAAGTGCTGCATTGAATACCCTACTGAGCTTGTCTCTTAGCAGACATCCCCTCTTACCTACCCAACTATAATAACTACCACCAATTTATAGCATTGATTACCCTGATCAATCACAAGCGCCATCATCTTTGCGGCCTTCATCCTGTGCCAACTGCTTCTCCTGTGGGATCCAGCCATATTCTACAAAGTTCAACAGAAATCACTGCGTATAAGGTTCATGAAAATCATTGAAAATCAGGTGTGTATAGAGATGCTGTGCTTGTTGAAGGTGCATCTCAAATGTCTGGGTTCCGTCTTCGGATATTATCTCACGAACCTTTGGAGTTGATCCCAGCAATGCAGACCCAAGCAACGCAACCGTACACCATTTGCAATCCTTTACGCACAGAAATGCACACATGAGAATTCCGCCTGGCATCACCTAGATACATGGAGCTGCATCCAGACTGGACATTGGCAAATCTTGCAACTTTCAAAGTGGCTGCCATTGAAGTTCTGGCCCACCCGGCCGTCATTTCACGGGAATTCCAGAGCCTCCCCGCAGAATGTTGTGTCCCACATCGATACGACCCGCCTCTGAGACGTCACCCTGCCCCGCTGCTGGCGCCTACAAAGCTTCGAAGCAAAATGTAGCAGGGAAAAACATGATCAAAAAAAGGTGCTCTGCAGCTAATTTGCAAACATCTTGGTCACCATAAGGGATGCGATAACAACTGTGCGGAGCTAAGAACTGATCTCATGACTTTGGGCTGAATTGAATCGACAGTTTGTTGCCGGTTTTGCAGCGTTTTCTTGTAAAATCCAGTTCCAATCAGAATCTTCCCATGGCAATGGGTGACTCACATCACTCTTGGCCGGGGCGCGATGACTGCGGTCAACGTATGTCCAGGCAAAACACCGGCTTCTTCCAGGGTTTTTGCTTCGTTCCTGATGGCTGGACCAAGCTCCAAATTATTTGGGACCGCGAACTTGACAAATTTGGGGTTGATGCACTCGCTCCAGAGCTTCAGGAGTTGACTCCTACAATTACAAGTCTATTGCGACCGCGTTGTGAGGATGAGAGTAAGTTCGCTGAAAGCCAGCATGACCAATGCATCTAAAGAGTGCGGTGATGCCTGGTGTAGAATATATATTATATGGTTAGGATCCCTGTAGATCAATGACCTTGTCAAACTTGTTCGACTTATCTTAATCAACTGGTTCTACTTGCATATGATCATCCTTCACCGTGCGATATCTTCTCTAACCAAGAGGAGTTTTTCGATCAAACCAAGTCATCCAAGATTAGATCGTCAAATTTATCAGATCTGGACCACTTTCTCTGGAATGCCGTGCTCGCTGCCGAGCACAAACAGACCAAGACTGATCCGTGAACGACCCGTGAATCACTTTGAACCAACCGTGGGTAGGGACATGGTCAACTTAATTGAGCACATGTAAAACTGAATGCTACCAAGAATTAACCTACAAAGTCACGGAAAGCAGGATATGAATTGACCTCGTAAAACTTGCGCTTAATCGCAATATCCATGCTAAGCTTGCACTTTGGATGATAAGATGTGATAAGATGTGATAAGATGTGACAAGCGCTTTCATTCCCAATATTTCCCAAAAGGCAGACCTTTGCATTTTTGTGGCCGCTTCTGCTGTTTGTTCTGCAATGTTCCGCATCACTCTGTCACTGACTCTCTCGAACAAACAGCAACAGCTGCACTTTCTGTCTCGTTAGAAGGACGATCAAACAGCTTTCCCATCGCATTGTATAATATACATTAATATACTGTATTTGTCTTTTGCCATAAGGGAAATCCGGGTTGCAGTTGCGGCATTTACTATGCCGGCTGAGCCTTCAAAACCCACTGGCACGTAATTTCTCAGCTGCATGGAGTGAAAGATTCTAACATCAAACCACCACGAAACACGGAGGTCCCCATCGTCACTGAAGAGTCTTGTCACTGACCCAGTGAGCATCCCAGAAGGCTCAAACTCCAGATTCGTATAGAATCTAAATACATCTAAACGTCGTTCCTCTATTCAGCATCAAGTTCTGTGCCAAGCAGCAATGGTTCCATGTTCACCCCAATGAGACGCTGGATGGTGATTCCGAGTTTCTTCCTCGGAAGCGCGACGCGTGGCATGGTGGCGATCCCTTTTGTGAAGTTGACAGAAACATTAACATGTTAACTGGCGACTCCGCATCATTTTGTGTCAAGGCGTGACACACCAACAAGAACCATAGCGACATGAGCAAGACACGTTGGTTTTGTGCTTGTGTGGTAAAAGTGGCTGAGCTCTGGGAGTAGTTGACTTGGTTGCGTGGACGGTCTTTTAGTGTGTTAAGGACAACGTCCTGGACGCTGACCCAAGTAGGTCTAGAGGTTTCGAAGGTTAGGTAACCTTCCGCATGGTAGCGGAGCTGCCTGCTTGCAGCTCGTAGAGGCGTAGCCAACTGACACATCCCATGGTCGCTTCTTGACAGCCCGTGAGCTTGCTGAGATCTGACTATCACCTCCACATATCCCATCTTTCCCATGCAACAAACAGGAGTGCCAGATGCAATGATCGCTTCATAAGCCAATTTCGGATTGCAGGGAACTTAGTTTATTAAAGCATCACGGGTCTTGTGTAGCAGTGGCCAGGCAACGCCATGCCTCTGAATACCGGGATGACATGTTCAATTTGCACAATCAGATGAATTACGGCACAAACATCTTTGGATTTGCTGCGAAACGCAAAAACATGTTGTCGCATATATTTTGGCATGGGTTTGCATGATGTTGCAATGTGTGTCGTCATACCATTGTTGTCTAAGCATGTCCGTGCATTCTCGGCCAACATGGTACATTGAGGAATCCAGGAAGTCTTGTTGCAACAAAGGCAGTGGACAGAAGAGGCTGCCTGATTTGCCCTGTCAAGTATATTGGAGGAGGGATGTAAATTTCTTCGTTCAGAGCCTACCATATTGCATCTTCTTCAATAATACCACACAACTGCATGAAACAACTCCTACAGACTCAGGGAGATGGAAATGAAAAAGACTCAGCACGGTCAAAGTATGGCCATGCGAGTCCAAGATTGCAAAAAAATCGCCATCAGTCGGCTCATGGAATATTAACTAGCATATGTCCATCTCACAAACGCATTACTGTAGATCAAAATGCAAGAACTGCAAACGTTGTCAGACCAACAGAACACAAGCATTTCGACCAAGATGGTTCGATATGGCCTCGGAGAAAGCCAAGCTTCTCTGCTTCTTCCTTCAATTCCTGCACCGTCTCGTGATAAGAACTACCTGAGTGTCATAGTTGCTTGCATTCCCAGGTTGCACATAACAGCCACTCACCAACAGCTCAGGTTTGACGGAAAATATCAGAAACGTTGATGTGTGGCACCCAACAAACCGTACAGCCTTTTATGTCTGCAGGTCGTATCAAGTGAAAAAGTCACTCACCTCATGCATCTTTTGAGCACTTCAATTGCTTGGTTCTCTTCAAATTCTACACATTGCCAATCCAGATAACCCTGAAACACCCTACATGACTGGCAAAAGATTGCGACGAATTACGGCACTAAAGTACCTGTCCACCATTTACCCACTGCAAATTTCGGAGCAGCCGAGGCACATTTGCAGCTCCGGCCACTGAGAAGGGCCACAAATACCTCACAAAAAGAATGGCAACGCATCGGAGTCAATTCGAGCGCATGACACCTTAACAACATCAGGATTGCAACGACCCAATAAGAGCCACTGTCATTTCCTGGTGAGTTCCTAAAGCCTACGTGTGCCAAAGCCCTGGTCCACCAAGGGATGTTCATCCCAGCGCCAAGGGACCGGGTCCAGGACACCCATCACCTTCCGGCGGCCATACTGCTTGGCGTAGTCGTACGGCGTCTTGCCTTGCAATACGCAGCTGGAAGTGCCAAGTTCCGGTTTAGACGGATGTGGGGCTGAGTTTGGCCCCCAAATCCAGATATATAGTATCATTTAGATTCGTTTGGCGTCATTGCTTTTCAAGTTGTTTTACGGATGCTTTACGTTGATGTCTGGAAGACATCCTAGCATATTTCCTACGTATCACCCGCTATATATGACCTTATCGTTAGTATCCTAATCGCTGTTGCCATATCATATCATTCGTAATAAGTTCTTACCGTGGTTTCGGATGGTTTCGGTATAAGCTGTGCCAGTGGATGCCACTGTCTTCTGTGGCTTGTGTCGGTTTGCCACCCCATGTTGACACTTGCCAAACATCCCACCATGACAGCGCCAAAAAAAAACGCAGTTCCCACAGCCTGAAACAAACTCAGAATACGTTCATGTTTCTGGCTTCGCTGGTGCAGTGCATGCACTGTAGAAGGTTCAAAAAATCCCACGTCAGTAATTACCATCCACAGCTCTGTGCACATGGCGCATTCAAAATCATCAAACAACATGTCACCGAGTTTGTTCCCTTCACTCACTCTGCATCAGATCATCCCTCCACTCCACCCCCTGTCGTCCCCACCGGCCGTTTCCGGGGCCCCTGGCCTTCGTTGCTCACAGCATCCACGGCGGCGCCCGCGGCGAGGAGCTGCTCCACGACAGCAGCCTGGCCACGGTCAGCCGCCCTGTGCAGCGGTGTGTCGCCTCAGGCGCCGAAGGGCTCGGAGACGTCAACGGCTAGAGGGCTCCACCCCGTGGCTCTCCACCGCCCACCCCCACTGCAGTGGGAGAAACTGCCAT